AGCACCCAGGGCCCCGGCTCTGCCTCCAGTTCCATGGGTCCCGGGCACGTGAGCCATTTGGAGACACACCCCAGCCCTGCACCCACTCTCCACCCCCCCAAGGCCTTTCCAGGGACATGCACAGACCCCGTGTGTCCCCGTGAGCATAGCCGGGTGCTCAGGACACCCTGTGAGCCGCCCCTCTCTCCCCCCCCTCCCCCGCGCTGGGCCAGGAGAGCCCCTACCTTGGCCTTGCCCAGGAAGTCCACACGGTCCAGGTGCTCCAGGTGCCGCCGGGGAGGCCGGAAGACCTCGCCCCTGGGGACCCGCCGGGGCTGCAGGATTCTGGAACCATTTACTAGTACATCAAACTGGTTAGTGGCAACTTTGCATTCATACTGAGCCACAGTCTTCCTAAAAACAAGTTTGTATTTTGCTTGTTTTAAATATATTTTTATTGATTTCAGAGAGGAAGGGAGAGGAGAGAGAGAGGATAGAAACATCAATGATGAGAGAGAATCATAGCCCCAGTGCGCACTGCGCGGTCGCCATGTTGAACCGCACCTGGGGGCCAGGTGAATGGTGGGGCGCGGCCAGGACCCGCCCGGTCCCACCCCAGGTCAGCCCTTCGCGCCCCAGCCAAGCCCTGGTCTTGCTCCAGGCCCGTCCAGAGTCCCACGGCAGGGTCCCCCCTGGTCCAGCCGCCACACTCCCGGCCACAGCGCCAGGGCCTCCCGGTGCCTGGTCCAGTGGTGGTCGCTCCCGGACCCACCTCCCTTGCCTGGGGCGTCCTCTGGCCTATCTCACCCCGATCTGTGCCCGGCGGGACCCCTCGTGGCCCCTTCCTCCCTGCACTGCACCCCACGGGTCTGGGGTGCTGCCTTCTCGGCCTGTCCCCTCCCCCCATGGGAAAGGGCTTTTGACAGACACATGGGATTGGGGTAAGGCCTGCAGTGACATGACCCTCCCAGAGCCGCTGCTACCCCTGGGTCCCGCACCAGGGCCTGCTGGGAGCCCCTGCACTGCTCAGTGCCCTGGGCCGGGGACACAGGTGGGCTGTGGGCCCGCACCTGACAGGCCTTTCCCACGATCCCCAGAGGCTCCAAGGCCCCATGTTGCTGGGGGTGCTAGGGATGCTGGGGGCACCTGGGGGGGGGGCGCCTCCCGATGCCCCTCTCCCCTGGGGCCCCAGCCTCCTTGGGGTAGAAGAGTGACCAGCGGGGACTGGGGGCCCCCTGGCCAGAGGGAGCCTCTGTGCACATAGCCCCCCGTGACAGTAACAGACAGGGGGGCCCCCTGGGTGGCCACCTGCCCGTGGACAGCGTCCCGAGGCCTGGCCGGCCCCGCCCGGCCCTCACGCTCACCTCCCAGGCCTGCAGCTTGAAGCGCAGGCCCAGCTGCGTGTAGTCGATGGCGGCGTTCCCCCTGAGCTGGGCCAGGGCCTGCTGGAAGTCGGCCAGGGCCTCCTGGGACCTGCAGGAGCCGGGGCCGCGGCTTTAGGGGGCAGCCTGCCCAGCCTGCCCCCCCCCCCAGGCTCCAGGGACACCTGCTGGGGCCGTGGTGGTCACTCAGGTCCTAACGAAGGGCTCAAGGGGTCAACGCTCAGATGTGGCTGCATCTCAAATGTTGGGTGGTGCCCAGCTCTGAATTCTGGGCATCTCGCTCCCATGCCTGGGGCCCGCCTGTACCCCAGACCGTCTCTCGAACCCCAGCTGTGCCCCGGGCATTTCCTTCCTGCTTCTCAGGCCCCCCTTCCCGGCAGAGCCCCACTGAGAGTTCCTTTCCCCCACCAACCCCGTCCCCAGGGAGGCTCCAGCTGAGTGTGGGGCCATCTGTGGGGCTCATCTCGGGAAGGGCCACAGTGCGACAGCCTGGTGAGCAGCGAGGACCCCAGGCACCCGTGGGTCCCGGGACAGACCCCTCCAGCCCTGCCTCAGCTTCCACAGGCCCTGCTGCAGCGAAGGAGCAAAGGGGGGGGCGGGCGCCCTCCATGGCGCTGCATGTGCCTCACAGCGACTAGAGACTGTGGCTCTGCCCTGCACCCTGCTCCGTCCAGTCCCAGGGGTGACCCTGGGAAGGGCGGAAGCAGGCGCACAAGGGGCCTTCAGAGGAGGAACCCGGAGCCCTGCGCTCACCTCCCCACCTGGAGGCGGGCCACTCCGCGCTGGAAGAAGCCAACAGCCAGGCAGGCGTCCTTGGTCACCGCCTGGTCAAATGCCTGGGAAGAAAAATGCCCGTGGAATGCCAAGGTCTGTAACCCACCACCCCGTGTCCCAGACCCGGGCCGGGCGCATGACCAGGGATGGGCCAAGGAATTCCATCGGCCCTGGGACAGCCACCTGCAGGGACGGCCCCTGCACCAGTCAGGGGCCCTCGGAGCTCCCGCCTGGGCGCACAGGGCATTCAGGCCCCTGCGCTGCCAGAGCCTCAACCCCACCCCACCCTGAGCTCCCCAGGTGCCTTTCCGGGGCTCAGAGCACAATGAGGTCCTGCCGCACCATGCTGTTTGCCAGGAGGACCGGGGAGCCGACCGGAGGCACGCTGATGAGTCACCTCGGGATGCAGTTATGCAAGACTTTTGTCTTGTGGAAACCCTATTTTTGGGAGCTCACACGCAATGACACACTTATCTAGTGGAATCAGAAAGAACACACAGCTCTTCCTTAAACCACACTCGGGAGTGACGTCATCTGTTCCTGAGGAGGACGTAGGCCGAGGGTCAGGGTCCTGCTCTCGCAGCGTGGGGGGGGGGGGGGGGGGGGGGGGGGGGTTGTCGGCTGAACGTGACCCAGGTGGGAGGTGCACAGAGACTGTGCGGGGCGCGCACAGGGCAGTGAAGTCGTTTGTTTGCTCGGTGTCCCACACGGGAGCCGCCAGACCCAGGCTCCTGTGGAGCCCACACACAAGGTGAGGCCGGCGCGCCCCCTCACCAGGCCGCTCCCCAAAGCAGTTACTAATGGTAGCTGTCTTGTCTTTTTACTTTAAAAATATATATATTTGTATTGATTTCAAAGAGGAAGGGAGAGGGAGAGAGAAACATCAATGAAGAGAGAGAATCACGGAGCGGCCGCCTCCTGCATGCCCCACACGGGGGATCGAGCCCGCAACCTGGGCTTGTGCTCCTGGTTCATGGGTCGGCGCTCAGCCCGAGCCACCACGGCAGAGCTGCCTGGTTGTTTTTTAAAATCTCTGTGCAGTGGGGCCTTGACTTACGAGTGTCCCGACTAACGAGTTTTTTGAGATACCAGCTGTCCCTCGGCGGATTTTTTGCATTGAGTTGACAGAGTAATTTGAGTTAACGAGCTCGTTAATGAGCTCTGTCTCTGAACGAATTAAACTGGTAAGTCAAGGCCCCACTATATTACTAATGAGTCCCATCGACTGCTACCTGAGGTACTGACCTCAGACCACACTCAGGCTCCTCCTGAGGGCGGGGAGCCTTGCACACGGAGACGCCTCCGCCCCACCTGCGTCCCTCTCTAGTTAAATCGCAGTTTAGGCGGATGTGATGACTGG